TTTTTTGTCTTTTTTCGTGACCGGCAACGGATCGCAACCCTCAGTGTCACGCCCGTACCGGACCAGGACCAGCAACGGGATCGCAACCCTCGGTGTTGCTCCCACACCTCGCTCAGCCAGTGAGCGGCCGGTCTGTATGTGGGATCCGAACCCTCAGCGGGAGCGCCGCTGCGCTCCCAAGTGGTGCACTGTAGCAGTGCGCCACCGGGCCGGCCCAGGAAGTTCTATAAGCCTATAGTAGTACTGCAGCTTCATACAACTTGGAGCAGAGGTTTTTGGGAGACTGCATCATGTTGCATAATTTAGAATTGACAATCTATAGCAACATTCTGTAGTGTTTTTTCAGTATCTTTTGTTCCTGTGGTAAACAGTGACCAGCATGCGGAGCAATGCCCACCACGGAGGCTATTGGGAGCTCCTGCTCCTGTGCACTAACTCAAGACTTGGTGACTTCAGGACATTGGAGGCAATTTATATGGAGCAATAGCCTAGGGAATGATGGCAATAATGGGCTGTAGAGCTAGGGCTGGGTCTGGAGCTCACAGACTCCTCAAGCCCATTGTTCAGACTGGGTCACAAACCCTTCACATGCAGGTCTACGAGCTAGGTAACAGGAAAAGTTCCTTGGAGGCTTTGTTGAAGAAAGAGTAGTCTTTATTCTATTCAGCGCGCGCGCGCGCGCGCGCACACACACACACACACACACACACACACACACACACACACACACACACACATATATCTCAGAGCTAGGCAGTCCAAAGAGAAACTCCAAAATTCAAGTGCTACTGGCAAAGTCCAAAGTAAAACTGAGCAGCTGCCACCAAAGTAAACATGCTCTATTTTTAGACGTGAGCTCTCTGCAGGCCAGCAGCTGCTTCACAAACTCAAGAACACATACTAGCAACAAACTAAAAAGATACATTGGCTCATGCGCACTACTCTACCCACACATAACTTGTTTGCAAAGAATGTGCTGCACCACCCCCAACTGGACAGAAGCAAGAGGGCCTGACTAAATTATTCTATTTTCCTCACATGGGCTGAAGGGCTAACTTCTGTATAGCTGTGGGAATACTGACTTTTTGAATGGTATATTAGTCTGTTTCTGTTGCATATACCAAAATACCCAGAACTGGGTAATTTGTAAAATGCAATTTATTGATTACAGCGTTGGAGGCTGGGAAGTTCAAAGTCCAGGGAACACATCTGGTGAGGACTTTGTTCTTGTTGGTGACTCTATTCATCGACTCAGGATGTCACATGGCAAAATGGCGGAAACAGAGAGTGAGATAGTGCCTTATGTGTTCTCCTTTTAAAGCCCTCAGAACTATGCCCATGACCACCATTAAACCATCAACTTATTATTTCATTTACTAGGGCATGGTCCTCACAATCTAATCACCTCTTCAAGGCCTAATCTTTCAATTACCACAATAGGATTTCCCACCTTCGATAGTTAAACAGTGGGGATTAAGCTTCAATGACTTTGGGGGGGGCACTCGATCTACCACTGTGAGGAAAATAGTCAGGCCCACTCGCCTCAGGTCTGGCTGGGTGTGGTGCAGTACATCCTTTGTAAACAAGTCATATGGGAGTAGAGTTAGTGAGCATGTTCCTGTGTATCCTTTTGCTTGTTGCTATTTTTGTGTGTTCTTCTGTGTGTGAGGCAGCAGCTCTGAATTGCTGGTAGGCCGAGCTTGTGTCTAAAAATAAATCCTATTGTTTCTTTACCCAAGGTTCCAAGGACTTTTTCCTGTTACCTAGCTTGTAGACTCCTGTGTGAAGGGTTTGTGACCCAGTCTGGACAATGGGCTCGAGGGGCCTGAGCTATAACCACAATAGTTATAGGGAGGCCAAGCAAGGCTGGAGCATTTCCAGTTAAAGCCAGGTTGCAAAGGGTTGGGCATAGCCTAGATTGGCCCATAGCATTTGACATTCCTTTGAAGCTTTGGCCTCTCCCACCATGTTGCCAGACTGGTTGAGTCTCATCTAAACCAACTGGTTAGGTGAAGATTATGGAGGTCTCCCTTCTCCCTTACATAACCTGTCTTGCCTTGCTCTAAGCCCCTACTCTTTGTTTAACCTCAGGATGATTATACCTCAGTCATCTGGCCTTTTCTTTGAGTTTTCATACTTTGTATGACTCCTGAGCACAGGTGTGCAGATAATAAAATTTGTTCTGCTTTTTTTCCTGCTAATGTGTCTATTATTAGTTTGTTTTATAGACTCAAATTAGCGAACCTTCAGGGGAAAAATTTAAATTTCCTATGAGACTTTAGCATTGTATCAAGTAAACAAACGAATTTTTTTCAGACAGTCATCAGTCCTATCTTCGCCAAAGTTTCAATTTTGTACCAGGTGCCGTCGTTAAGTACAGGAATACAAGGCACAAGAGAAAATGTGCTTGCCCTCATGAAGTCACCAAGAGGGAGAGATAACTAATTAAGCTATTGTTTACTTACTTACAATGAAGGAAAAAGCATACTTTGTTTTTGCATTTGATTGATTTTATTGCTTTTCACATTGGACATGTTAACATACGATATTCAAGCAGCTCACGAAAACAGATGTACCAATATTAGAATGATGGAGATGGATTTATTTTAAGAAAAATTGTGTAAATCCCCAATTTGTCTTATAGGAGAGTGACAGAATTCAAGGAAGCCGCTCCTGTACAACTTTGGAGGGTAGGAGGAGAGGTGCGCGAGAACATCCGGAAGTCTCTCTAGGGATTTGGGTGTAGGCACAGCCCTCGCGTTGCTTCCTGCCCACATAGTCAGATTTGGGCGTCAGCGTGGCGGAGGCGCAGGGACCCCAGCACACCCAGAGTCGCTCCGCCCCTGGCGCGGGGCTCCTCCAGCTCCGAACTACAGTTCCCAGAAGGCTGTGCGAGCCCAGGAGGGAAGCTTCAGCGGCAGCAGGAAAGGCGCGAGCGGAGGCGCGAGGGGAGACGGCGGGGGGACTCCCTGGTTGGTGGGCCGGGCACCCGCGTCGGCCCCAGAAGGAGGACGCGGCCTTGAGCAGTCCTCAGAGCCCTCGTAGCCCTACAGCCCTGGGCGCTGGCCGGGGCGATCCCGCTCCTCCGCCCGCTGGACAGGCCCGGGGCGGGATGTAGGGCGCTGGGCGCGGAGGCCGCTGGCGCGGCAGGGGGAGCGCGAAGGGCGAGCCGAGGATGGAGAGAGCGATGGAGCAGCTCAACCGTCTGACGCGCTCGCTGCGCCGCGCGCGCACCGTGGAGTTGCCCGAGGGTGAGCGGGGCCGCGGGGCCGGGGCGGCCGGGGGTGTGTGTGTGTGTGGGGGGGAACTAACTTAAAGCTTAGAAAACACCTACCTTTACTGTCCTGAGCTGGGAGGGGCGGACCCGGACCCCCGGCGTCCCCTGGCCCACCGTTCCCACCCCAGCAGGTGGGAATTTGTAGGAGAGGGTGGGTCAGTGCGGGCCCAGCTGGCGGCAGAAGCAGGACAGAGGTCTCTCCCGACTATCGATTGGGGTTTTGGCCGAGGAACAGAAATATCCGGATGGCGAAGATCCGGATTCAGAAAACAGTTGCGGGTCATTTTACAGTCTGCTTATTGGGGATAGAGAGAAGCTCCAAATATTTACTTTAAGCTGGGGGGGGGGGGGGTTAAACGGGCTTACTTTATTTTATTAAATGTAGGGCACTGCTGTGTTTTGACCTCAAACAAAAGGTTATCAAACAGGTAACCTTAAAGTACTGTGTGTGTGTAAACGTATGTGCTCCAAAATATGCATGCCTGTCTTCATTCTTCATTTATTCCTCAGATTTGTATTGAGTGGGCTAGGTGGGAACTAGGCGGGGCGCATCTACGAAGAGAAGAGGGGTAAGGCATGGTCCCTGTAGTTCAGGGCTTTTAGTTCTGTGTGCTAGGGTTCCTTCAGGACAGGTGAAACTCTAGTATTAAAACAAGCAAGAAAAATGTTTTGTTTGCGGCTTCATGAATTCGGACTTTAGTGATAATGGGAGATGGCATTGCTGCCTCTGTGAGGCTTTTGACTCTTTATGATCAAGTGAGACAAGGGCTACGAAGGGGTTACGGATGGTGAGTTGCTTTTTTTTTTTTTTTTTCCATTGTAGTAGTTTATCTTATTTCATTTTTCAAAACTTTCTTCGAATTGCTGCTGGGGCTGGGGTTTTTGTGTTAGGGAAGGAGGCCTTTGGAGGGAGAAACGAGGGATTGGGGACTTAAGGGATAATATGAAAATTATCCCCAAAGTCCCCAATCCCTCATTTCTTTCTCTGTTTAGGATTTAGAGTAGGGAAGATCAGTGGTGACTGTTTTTCAAAAATAATTTTGTATTTGGGACTTTGCTAGAATGAAGTAATTGATTTTAATACTTTAAGATAATCCTGATTTTAATAACTAGCCTCAACCTTTTCTTTATTTTCTTCCAACTTCCACCCTTGACTCCATTTTTTAAGTGCTGCTCTCACTCATTTATTTTCCGTAGTCACATTATTGGTACAGGTTGATGAAAATTGAATATACAGTTTCATTGACATCGCTATTTATATGGCCTAGTTTGAATCCCAATATTTTTACATAAATGTGAGTTAAAAGACTTTTATAATGTTTCCTGGTTTAAAAAGAAATATATTTTCATTGTAGGAAATTTGGAAAACAAGGGAAATTAGAATAAGAAATTTGTCATTTCATCACCTAGTACACCTAGCATTTTCTTTATTTCCTTACATTGTTATTGCTTTCTCTTTTTCTAACAAATTATGATCATACTGCATATAGTCTTTTTTTTTTGTTTTTAGAAAATATCACAAACGTTTTTTATACCCTTAAATATGCTTATTGAAGGATTTCATAGGATGCATGTAATGAATGTTGAATCTAATTTTTGTTTTTATAACTGATTTTATGAGGACCAGCTTTGTACTTAAGAGTTAATGTGCCTGTCTAAATATTTCATGAGGGTTAATTTGTAAGAGAATAATAGGATCTAATTATATGAACATTTTTAAGGCTCTAGGTAACAGTTTCTCAATTTACACCTCGGAAATTTCCAGCAGTAGTTTGAATGCTTAGAGTATTACAATTAAAAATAAAACTTTTTGTTATGTTGCTTGGCAGAAATGGCATCGTGTTTACATTTGTTTTTCTTTGATTATAATGAGTTTGTTCATTTTGTTCCTTGAATTTAATTTATCTTTGTGCCTAAGGTTTTTTTTTTTTTTTTTTTTTTGTCTTTTTTCCATGTCCGGCAACGGATCGCAACCCTCAGTGTTGCCCCCGTACCGGACCGGGGACCGGCAACGGGATTGCAAACCTCGGTGTTGCTCCCGCGCCTCGCTCAGCCAGTGAGCGGGAACCGGTCTGTATGTGGGATCTGAACCCTCGGGCGGGAGCGCCGCCGCGCTTCCCAAGCGGCGCACTATCCAGTGCGCCACCGGGCCGGCCCCTTTGTGCCTAAGTTTTGATGAATCTTGTTGAATTCTCTGAGCTTGTTTCTTTCAAATATATCGCATATATACATTCTAATTATAAAAATCCACATTGTTGTGCTTGCATTTTAAGGGCTGAACAGAAGTTTTGAGATCTCTCTAAATTTAGGAAATAATCAGAATTTTTTTTTTTTTTTTTTTGCTTTGCTAGAATTCAGCAATCAATAAACATCTAAATGCAACAAATTATTAAGGTTGTAACGTTTTTAATCAGCTTTTTCTCTAAAATTAACTTTGTTTCATAGGTTGAAACTGCAGATATTTGATACTGAATTGGATACTGGGCGGACATATTTATGTTTCCTTGGGATGGTGAAAGCCTTAGTATTCCCACCAAGTAATGGAGTGCAGGTTGTTGAGTCATCCTAGGCTGGGCTAACAGGAATATTCTTGCAAGAGAAAAAGTGGTGAAGGGAAAGAAATTACTTTAGAGATATGGATTCTTGATGGACTTTAAAAGGTTAGTGTATGTTGTTTGCATATGTGAAGAAAATAGTTTAAACTACTGCATTTACAGTGAACATAGCTTGTTTAATAAAATAGCACAATTTGAGTTCATTTTAGCATATATATTTGAATGAAGGTTAGGATAATTATCAGTTTTTAAAAATCACTCCCATCCGATGGTTTGAGGAGAAATTAATTGTATGTAGTATAATGAATCTGAACTCTTTATTTAAAGAATAAAGGGTTTCCTTTCAGTAGTTGAGTTCCGAAATTATTAATAAAAATGGCCAACATATCTGATAAAGTGAGAAATTAAACTTTTCTTATCACTCTGCAAACTTTAATTATTTACCTAATCCTCAAGGTGTCTTCATGAGTGTGGAGAAGGAAGCATCTGGCAACAAATTTTATCTATCTTTTCTTAGTATAGTATTTCTTGGATTGTTTCCTTCTAGCACCATAGTTGTGGTTGTATTTATTTCTTCATACTTAACCTTTTAGTGTATGTGACCTATATTTTTATAAGGTTCGATGGGACTTAAAAAAATAAAAGCCTTATAAATAAAACTAATGTGAACCTTATAGTGTTCACTAATACTCACTTAAAATTATATTCTATCTTGATTTACGAGTTTAAATTCACAAATAAGGGTATTTCCTATTTCTTGTGGGGTGACTTAATTAAAATTGTCATGGTTTAGAAGTTCATATTGTTATTGGGGTGTGTATTATATGAGATACGAAGAATGTTGTCATGCTAGGGGAGGCTTTGTGCAGTGTTTTTAACTCCTGGTGGTGACTCATTAGTAATTACGGAGTTGCAGTCAGCATTAAAAAAAGAAATAGAAGAGGATAAAACAAATTATGTGTATTGCACATGTTAAGAATAGTATTGTATTGTGAACCTTTTGGCTATTATTAATAGTGTACACTGGGTGCACTGTAAGATGTATTATTGTGAGGGTCCTGGAATTGGCCACTTAATGCCATCACTATCTTCTTACTTAACTTAGTGCTTCAGTTTTCTCATTTGTAAAATGGGGATCATAGTACCTACTTCAAAAAGTGGTTGTGAAGATAAAGGAGATAATATATTTAAAGTGTTTAGAACAACACCTTTAAGATAATGGTTTTTAAAACATGTTGGTTAGTAGTAGGATTTATTTTTACTTTATTTATTTATTTATTTATTTTTTGTCTTTTTTCGTGTCCGGCAACAGATCGCAACCCTCAGTGTCGCGCCCGTACCGGACCGGGACTGGTAATGGGATCGCAACCCTCGGTGCTGCTCCCACACCTCGCTCAGCCAGTGAGCGGGAACTGGTCTGTATGTGGGATCCGAACCCTCGGCGGGAGCACCACTGTACTCCCAAGCGGCGCACTGTAGCAGTGCGCCACCGGGCCGGCCCATATTTTTACTTTATTTTTATAATGAAAGAGTTGCATCTGCATACTGAATTTGTGAATGTTGACTAGGACTAAATTGCTTTTCATCTATATATTCACAAATAGTGAAATAATGAACAAAAATTTGAAGAAATGGTAATGACTTTTTTCCATTTCCCTGGTGAATACTCAGTTTTGTCTGTTTTTTTTTTTTTTTTTTTGGCAGCTGGCAGGTATGGGGAGCCAAACCCTTGACCTTGGAGTTACGAGGCTGTGCTCTAACCAACTGAGCTTACTGGCCAGCCCTGAATACTCAGTTTTTATATATGTATTTTTAATTAAAACATAATTGGTTATACATATTTGTGGGGTACAGAGTTGAACATCAGTACCTGTGTACAATATGTGATGATCAAATCAGGATAATTAGTGTATTTATCATTATCAAATGTGATCATTCTTGGTGACCCTTAACCAATTTCTCACGAACTTCCCTCTCCCTCTCCCATCTTAAAGTAACTACGATTCTGTTCTCTCTTTTTGAAAATTCAGCCTATTACTGTGAGTGTTGTTTCCTTCCTTCTTTCCTTCTTTTTATTTATTTATTTTTTACCTCTCACTTATGAATGAGGACATGTGGTATTTCTCTTTCTGTGCCTGGCTTATTTCACTTAACGTTAATTTTCTCCAAGCTCATCCATGTTGCTGTGAATGGCAGAATTTCCATTCATTTTTATGGCTGAGTAGTATTCCATTTTGTATATATACCACATTCTCCTTATCCATTTGTCCATCGATGGGCATTTAGGTTGTTTCCATAACTTGGCCACTGTTAATAGAGCCATGATAAACATGGAAGTGTGTGTATCTCTTCCGCATGATGACCTCTCTTCCTTTGGGTATGTGCTGAGTTAGTGGGATTGCTGAATCATGTGGTGATTTTATCTGTAGTTGTTTGAGGAACCTCAGTACTGTTTTCCATAATGGCTGTACTAATTTACAGTTCCACCAGCGGTGCAGAAGGGTTCCCCTTTCTCCACATCCTAGCCAGCATTTGTTATTCTCTTTCTTTTTGATAATAGTCAGTGAAACTGGGGTGAGATGGTATCTTAAAGTGGTTTTGATCTGCATTTCCCTAGTGCTTAGTGATGTTGAGCATATTTTCAAGTACCTGTTAGCCATTTGTACGTCTTCCCTTGAGAGATGTCTGTTCAGCACCTTTGCCCATATATATATATATATATATATATATTTTTTTTTTGTCCTTTTTTGAGACCGGCTGCACCGCGCTCAGCCAGTGAGCGCTGTGAGCGCACTGGTCATCCCTATATAGGATCCGAACCCGCGGCGGGAGCGCTGCTGCACTCCCAGTGCCGCACTCTCCCGAGTGCGCCACGGGCTCGGCCCTTGCCCATTTTTTTAATTGGATTAGTTTTTACTGTTAAGTTATTTCAGTTCTTCATGTGTTCTGGATTTTAATCCCTTGCAAGATTTATAGTTTGCAAATGTCTTATCCCATTTTGTAGGTTATCTTTTCACTCTGTTGATTGTTTCCTTTGCTGTGCAGAAGGTTTATAGTGTTATATAATCCCATTTGTTTATGTTTTCTTCTGTTGCCTGTGCTTTTGGGGTCTTATTCATAGTCTTTGCTCAGCCCTACATCTTAGAGTGTTTCCTCTATGTTTTCTTCTGGGAGTTTTATAGTTTCAGGTCTTATATTTAAGTCTTTAATCCATTTCAAGTTGATTTTGGTATATGGAGAGAGGTATGGGTCTAGTTTCATTCTATATTTGGATGTCCAGTTTTCCCAGCACTACTTATTTTTTATTTTTTTTGGTGGCTGGCCAGCTCGGGGATCTGAACCTTTGACCTTAGCGATAATACAGCTGAGGATTTTTTTTTTCCCCCTGGTGGCAGTCCTCCAGCACCATTTATTGAAGTTTATGTCTTGGTGCCTTTGTTGAAGATCAGCTGGCTGTAAGTATGTGGGTTGATTTCTGTGTTCTCTTTTCTGTTCCACTGATCCGGGTGTCTATTTTTGTGCCAGTATCATGCTATTTTGGTTTCTATAGCTTTGTAGTATAATTTGGAGTCAGGAGGTGTAATGCTTTCCGCTTTATTATTATTATTTTGTTTTTGTCAGGATTGCTTTGACTATTCAGGGTCTTTTGTTCCACATTAATGTTAGGATTCTTTTTTCCATTTGTGTGAAGAAAGTCATTGGTATTTTGATATGGATTGTACAGAATCTGCAGATGTTTTGGGTAGTATGGACATTTTCACTAGTAAATTCTTCTAATCCATGAACATGGAATGTCTTTCCATCTTTTTGTGTCGTCTTTAATTTCTTCCAGCAGTGATTTGTAGTTCTCATTGTAGAGGTCTTTTACCTCCTTGGCTGAATTTATTCCTAGTATTTTATTTTTTTGGTAGTCACTATAAATAGACTTGCTTTCTTGGTTTCTCTATCTTCTTGTTTGATGTTGGGGTATAAAAATGCTACTGATTTTTGGGTATTGATTTTGTATCCTGCAACATTACTGTATCTTTCGACAGAGTTGTCTGTGAGTGCCTCCATGGCCTAGGCACTGAGACACTCAGTGGCTCCATACTGAACTGAGTGACACTGTTTTGAGTTGTCGAGGATGTGAGTGAGATCATGAGTTCTGAGAGAATTGCCCACCCTGTAGGTCCTTGGCTGGTACCCTGTAGGTCCTTGGCTGAGGTGGTTGTCCCTGACAGACTTGTTGACATCTCAGCTACTGTCCTGTGACCCTGATAGGTGTACTGGGATATACTGAAGCTCATCAGCTTGAATGGGTGACCAGGGGCAAGGTGGCTCTTTCTTCTTTCCTGCAGGCAGAGGCTCCTGCTGGGTCCTTGCTTCTCCTGGTTGGGGAATGCATTGGTGCTGGCTGGGTATTTCCTTCTGTACTGTATTTGGCTATCCTGAGTTTCTGCACTCACCAGTAGTTCCCTGAGTGTCTCTCCGTAGGTCGAGGAAGTCACGTGGGCTGCACATGTAGTTACCACCCCAAGGTGCATGGGCCTCACTCACTCACTTACCTTTCTCCTTTTTTCCTGCCGGGTAAAACACAGAAACACCTGGATCTGTGTGAGGTTGAGCTTGTGGCACCTGGGTAGGATGGTGGGAGCAGGATTAATTGCTTTGCTGGTAGAGGGGAGTAGTGGCAGCAAGAGTGGCAGTGGTAGGAGCTGTGTAGTGAGAGGGGCTACAGTGGGAGCTGCATGGCAGCAGCAGTGGAGATCAGGGTGGGGAAACGGGCATCGGCTCTGGGACTGGACAATGGCAATGGCGAATATGGTGGTCGTGGCAGCGGGCTGGGACAGGAAGAAGAGGAGGATTACTGCTAGGAAGTGCTTGTGGTGGCGCAAGTTCTTTTCACTGTGAGGAAAAATTCCTCCTGCACAGATCTTGGTGTCAAAGACATGGCAGCTGAAGCTGTGTGTTTCTTTCTCCTCTGTATGTCACCCTACTGGGTTTTCGTGCTCCACAGGATTCTCACCAGACTTCTTCTGACTTCTCCCATGCTCTCCCACTGATGCTCTCTTTAGTACTTTGCTGTCCATTCCTTGTTCTGGTCTTTTTCTGTGGGAGGAATGCACTGTGGGCACCTTTAGTCTGCCAGTTGGTTCCTTCCCTCCAGTGTATATTTCTAAATATATGAATTATGTTTTGCAAACACAATCATAATACCATTGTTAGAGCCAGTACAATTAACAATATTTTTTTATTATCCTCAAATACCCAGTTTATGGTATTTTAGTTTTTCCTTGTGTTTAAATGGCCTTGATACTTTTGAAGAGGATTGATCAGATATTTTATGGAATTCTGCTTAATTTGAGTTTGATGTTTTCTTTTTTTTTTTTTTTCCTTTTTGTCTTTTTTCGTGTCCGGCAATGGATCGCAACCCTCAGTGTCGCACCCATACCGGACCGGCAATGGGATTGCAACCCTCGGTGTTGCACCCACACCTTGCTCAGCCAGTGAGCGGGAACCGGTCTGTATGTGGGATCCGAACCCTCGGCGGGAGCGCTGCTGTGCTCCCAAGCGGCGCACTGTAACAGTGCGCCACCGGGCAGGCCCGAGTTTGATGTTTTCTCATGATTAAATTGAGGTTATGCATTTTTGGCAAGAATACTACAAAAGTGATGTGCCCCTCTCAGTCAATCATATCAGGAACTACATGATATATATATATATTTTTTGTCTTTTGTCTTTTTTCCGTGTCCGGCAACAGATCGCAACCCTCAGTGTTGCCCCCGTACCGGACTGGGGACCGGCAACGGGATCGCAAGCCTCGGTGTTGCTCCCGCGCCTCGCTCAGCCAGTGAGCGGGAGCCGGTCTGTATGTGGGATCCGAACCCTCGGACGGGAGCGCCGCCACGCTTCCCAAGCGGCACACTATCCAGTGCGCCACCGGGCCGGCCCAGGAACTACATGATATTAATATGTATTATTTCTGGTGATATTACCCTTTATCAGTTGATTAAAGTGATGGCTGCTAGATTCTTCACTGTAAACTTACTATATTTTCTTTGTAATTAGTCAATATTTTTGGGAAATATTTTGATAGTATGCAAGTACACTCTTTCTACTTAAACTTTAACCCATTAATTTTAGCATCAGTATTAACTTTTAAAGGGCTAAGTGGGGGTGTCAGGGTTACTTCTCTGTAAATAATTTATTGAAAGATATAAGCCTCTAAAGTGCATTGAATTGAGAAATGCCATTAGTAATTTATAAAGATAAATTCAAAACACTAGCCAAAATGTACGTAAGTATGATAAGACATCGTAGATGTTGATTTTTAACGTTTCCTTTTGGATCATGTTTTGGTGAATTTATTTTATAAAAGATATGAATGAAAATGTTGTGAATATGGTAAAGTGATAAGCAAAATTAAGACTTCAATGTTGTTTCATAAAAGCTTCTAAAATTAATTTCTTATATTATTGGGAAAAAGCAAGTATTATGTATATTTAAGGTTTTAAAATTATTTTAGTATATATATCTTTAATATTCATCTGTAATTAAAATTTCCCTAAACTACATGTATGAAAAAACATGATGTCCATAAATATCTCCCTGAAAGAAAAAGAAATTTCATTTGTTAAAGCTACAGAAAATATGAGGTTTCCAATTTTCCCCTTACAACCAGAAGCTAAGCTCTTTTGTGCTGATGTAGAAGGGATAAGTAGAGGAGATGAGAAATTCTGCATTATTGCGAATTTTGTAATAACTCTGGTATTCTGTACTGTTCTTACCTTCTTCTGTTTTCTTTACTTTTTATGTAAAGTTAACACTCTAATCTTAAGTATCACCCCTTGGAAAAAGTAGGAGGTAAATTAATTATTTTTCTCTTTTTTTTCCCACTCAGATAATGAAACTGCTGTTTATACATTAATGCCAATGGTTATGGCTGATCAACACAGGTGAGTGCCTATTTCATAAACTTATGCTTTTTGAGAAGTATAAATTGTTCAGAATGTTGTATGTACACATACACATACAAACAGTTTGGACATAGATGTAGCCCCAGGGCAAGTTATTTAACGTGTCATAATTTTCTGTCTGTGAAATAAGGAGCAAGATTTTTTTTTTTTTTTTTTTTTTTTTTTTTTTTTTGTCTTTTTGTCTTTTTGTGTGTCCGGCAACAGATCGCAACCCTCAGTGTTGCCCCCGTACCGGACCGGGGACCGGCAACGGGATTGCAACCCTCGGCGTTGCCCCCGCGCCTCGCTCAGCCAGTGAGCGGGAACTGGTCTGTATGTGGGATCCGAACCCTCGGGCGGGAGCGCCGCCACGCTTCCCAAGCGGCGCACTTATCCAGTGCGCCACCGGGCCGGCCCCGGAGCAAGATTTTTGAAGGTCCATATCAGCTGTCAAATTTTATGGTAAGAGTTTTTCTAAATGAATAATCACATATTAAATCAAATATTTGGTTGGTCACTGACATAAGGAAGAAAAGTTGTGGTAGTTTCTTTTAGAGGCCACTACTTATCTTTTTAGCAAAAGGTTAGGGCAAAGGGGCAGCTTATTTCCTGTATGTGCCAGCTATTACTTTGATGTTCTTTTTGTTGATGTTGTGTTGATACTCTTTTAAAGGGGCATATATGATATACAGTTACCTGGCCGTATGAGGAGGTCTTTACCCTTGTAGCAGTCAGCTCTGCTGTGTTTAGCCATAGGACGGTTTGGTATAATGAGAAGAAAGTGAAGGGAAACTTGATTTTGAAACAAGTTTAAAATATAAATTATTTTTGCTCTAAGTTTTCTGTCTGATATAATTTAAAAATGTTTTTATTTGATTTTATTTGGCCATTAATTAACATAGACCCAGCTTTCAGCAAGGGGAACAGCCGTGCTTACTCCCTTTGTTTCTCAAGAATCTATGGAGAGCTGAAACTCTGTTAGGTGTCCTTAGAGCAAGTAACAGCACTGGCTGAGTGGCAGATGAGGAAACCTTTGGTACCAGTTTATTGGTCAAGGCAGTTCGTTTTTGGATGGTACTGCGCTGGCTACCATGCTATACTTAGAGAATAGTGCCTTGTTTTTTGGTTGATATGGGACAAGGTCTTGAATAATTAATTGTGAGTTGCTAAAGAACAGTTAACTTGATTTATTATGTTTTTTAAAACTTTTATATATATCGATTCCTTCTGTAATTTTTTTTTGGCGTAGGTCTGTTTCTGAACTACTATCAAATTCAAAATTTGATGTCAATTATGCGTTTGGACGTGTAAAAAGAAGCTTGCTTCACATTGCAGCAAAGTAAGACTAAAGATACTTTGGGTTAAACTCATCTAGAATAAAGATCAGTAAGCTTTGAATTAGTATTGTCTCAAAGTAGTTATGGGGAGAGATGAGAATGGACAGCTGAGTAGTTCTTTATCCTGTTTAGGGCATAGTATGCTATGTATTCTCTGTCTAGATCAATGGTTAATTTGGGGATTAGACTCAAGTCTCATGTCCCTATTGTCTTAGCTTCTAGATCAGATCAGAGTAGATTAGGCATGGGGATTGTCTTTCCTGGATGTGCTTAGAGAGGGTGTGTTCACCAAAATTTTCTTTTTATCCCATCAGTATGAGATTTTATATGTAAACTGCACATGAAATTATTAGTTTTGTATTTTTTACCCAGATGAGAGAATGATTTTTATCACTAGTTTTCCACTGTCAGTTAACAAATTGCCATCTGTCTTCTTTTCAGGATTTAGGTAAGTGTATTGAAATTAATTGTTCATGATTAATTTGGCTTCTGGAAGGCCAAAAGTTTGAGAGAACTATGTGATTTTTTTCATAAACTAATACTTTATTTTACTTTGTTTGGACTTCTCAAATGCTTTATAGCTTTCATAGTAGAATGTAACATCTTGAAAGTAGAGGATATTTACTGTTTGTGACAGAAGTTAAATCAAACTGTAGGTAAATGTGGACCTTAAAAATAACATGTTTAATAAAATTTTTTGTTTTTTGATTAAGCTATTCAAATGTGACTACTGAATGTTACTGAACTATCTTCTAATATTGTTTTAGCTGTGGATCAGTGGAATGCTTGGTTCTGCTGTTAAAGAAAGGAGCAAATCCTAATTATCAAGATATTTCAGGCTGTACCCCCCTTCATTTGGCAGCTAGAAATGGGTAAATATTTAGTTTTCTTAAGTAGCTTAAGTTGTATTTTCAGTTATGACTAACAATATTCAAGGCACTCTGCTTTGATTTGATGATTTCTTCCCTTCAATATTTGCCCTGGGAAAAATACAAAAATGATTTTTGTATTTTATTTTCTATAATTTTTCTGTCTCTCAAGGATATTATTGGTAAGTCTGCTTTTTATTCTTTATAGTGGATCTTGGGTCATTATATTCAATTTTTAAATAACTGTCATATTTAATAATTTATTCAATTGTTCACTGATATTTTTCTTCTTGAAAATATGTTTGTGGAAGTTCATTATTACTTATATTATAATGACATATTCTGAAAAGCATAATTTTCACCTCTAGTTTTGGTGTCCTTTTTGCTGCTAATGATTTGCCATTCTTAACTCCATGGCTTATTTTCCAAATTGCTTGGAAATTAAAAAAAAAAAAGTAATATTTTCAAAATGTGAAAACTTAAAGATGGCATATTGAATATATTTTTGATTTTTCCTGATACTTCTGGTCATCATTATGAACATCATTATGTTATTGTGTGCTATTTAAAGCCCCACTATACTTTTTATGTTTTTTTCCCTGTCCTTTTCCGCCAGGAATTTCAGATGTCACATCTCTGCCTCTACCACTGTCTTCCACTTCTTAAAATTCTGTTGGACTGAGAAATCAGACCAAAATGATTGGATTTATGTTTAAAATGAAAATAAATAGTTTTTGATTCTGTGATTGAGGAGCTTACATTTATAAATCGTTTTTGAACACTGTAAAACTTCTCTGTGGAAGTACATTTCTATTGTCTTTCTTCTTCTGATTACTCTTTAAGATATTTTTATTTCCTGTTCTGAACTGGGATAATAAATAGTTGAGGTGGCTGCCTAAGTGAGATGCTTATAGAGCTGAAATTGTCCATTTTATCAATTTGATGCCAAATTTTGCATGTAAGGATTAATGAGGAACCAAAAAGACAAGAACCATAGTAATGTCTAGGTTGCACTGGGGAAAGTCACAGTCTTTTGACCCTGTCTGGTCTGCCCCATTTCCTGATTTAGCATGTGAGTAAGTTTAATTGTTCACCTTTCCAATAGGTAATAATGTGCTGATTAAAGTTCTTTTTACATAATAGTTAGCCACATGAGGTATGTTGTAGTGTGTCATAAAAGTATTTACTCCCTTGCTGAGTTGATCTCATGTTCAGATCCATTATCCCAAGTGTTGGTAGGGTAGTCACAAAGGTCTTTGAAAAGGTTCCATGTAGAAAAATCTCTCAGTTCTCTGTCTCAACAACTGTAAGTGAAAGGACAAATTGGAGCAGGGCAGGGATAAAAAGTCTACTGTTATTATAATAGGAGACTTAGTTATAAGACTTCATTGTGAGGACCAAGAAATAGATCTTAAACTTGAAAGACAGGATGTTCTTGGTCTTTTAAAAAGGCTTTTCAGGGCCGGCCCGGTGGCGCACTCGGTAGAGTGCGGTGCTTGGGAGTGCGGCGGCGCTCCTGCCGAGGGTTTGGATCCCATATACAGACTGGTCCGCTCACTGGTTGAGCGTGGTGCGGGCGCGACACCGAGGGTTGCGATCCCGTTGCCAGTCACGAAAAAAGACAAAAAAGAAAAAAAAAAAAAAGGCTTTTCATGTACTGTTTTTTAGAAATAAAGGCCTTTTAAGTAACACATAGAAAAGAAATACTGTAGTTTTGATCACTATTTCTGTCAACAGTAATAAAGAAGACCATTACATTTTAAACATGAAGAAATATGACAGATATTATGTGATTCACATAGCAAGTCAGTGAGAGGAAAATGAATAAGACGAATTCATGACTGTTTCTTTAATTTGGATGACTTTCTGTTTCTATAAAGACTACTTTTGACATTCAGTACTTAAATATTTTGGGTTTTGTCATTTATTGAACGGGTGCCTTTACAGCTTAGAGGTGTTCAATAAATGGTGCCAAATAACTTGAGTACTTATTACTACCTGTAACTGCTTATGTTTTCAGAAATTGTTTTTGATCATAATTTCTTTATGAGTTCACATTTGTCCACACTGAAGTAGAAGTCGTAGGAGAATTCTGCGCCTTTTGCTGGTGCATCTGTGTTTGGGGTTAGCTTTTTGTTTTGCTCCTTCAGCTCTCGTTGTCATTTGCCTGCTTTATCATTTTTCTCTTCACCGCGAGTGCTGTATTGGACTGCCCTACTTTCCAACAGAAGCTTCCACAGAACACTTGGATGACTGGTCCCTATGTCATTTGGCTTACCATAAGCTTCCTATAATGGTTACAATATGTGGGCAGGAAAATAATTGCTTCCTTGTATGGGGAGATCCAGCATTGCTCAGGATTATATGAGAATATTAAAAGGGAAGAGTTTGAAATTATTGTGTATCCTTATGTTGCATATTGGTCAGATTTGAAACTTGATTTTTTCGTTATTTTTGGGGGGCTAGATTATGAACTCATATAGGGCAGAGCCCATGTGTTAGTTAATATTTTTGTTTCAATTCTTAGCAAAATGTCTCTCACTTATTGGGTTGTTTTGACTTAGATTCTGGAAACTAGTAATACTGGTTGTGAAGTAAAAAAAAATAGAATATGTTTCTCTTGTATGTGGCCTGTACCTTTTGTGATTCATTTTTGGGAAGGTGGTGCATTATAGATTGCAGCTCTTCTTCAACAATCCCTGCTATAAACACTTTTATGGGTCTATTTCCCTGGTCCATTCCTACTTAACTTTATTTTGGCATTGGGCCAATGGTCCACTTCAGGCTTCTGAATAGGCTTTAGAAATCTAGCCATATGGGTACAGACACACAAACACACACATATTTTAAGTAATGTATTTTAATAGACTAACGGGTCTATTGTTCCACTATTATTGAATAATCGTTTCCTAAGGTTTTCATAACAGTGTGTTAGATGAAGGAATTTTCTAAATGTTTGAACTTAAAAGTTTACTTAAAGTTTTATTTTCTTCCATTTCTTTGATTATAATGCTGATTTTAAATGACATTTAACTTCAGGTAAGAAGTCAAAGCAAGAAAAATAATTTACCAGTTCTTTTTTTTTAAAAAAGATTTATTTAATTAAGAAGAGTTTTAGCTGTTGACTTAATAATCAATTAATAAGGTTTTATTGAGAGTACCATGTGCTTGGCTATGCTTAGTATTGAATTGATTAAAGAAATATGATATAATCCGTGACATGAAGCTTATGATCTAGTTGAGTAGTTATGTATACATACATACATTATAAACTCTATATACCATATGCTATATATTATTGTATATTATAATCATATTATATTAGTATTATATACTATATTATGTAATATGTATATTATACATAATATTATATACACACTTTTATGTATGTATTACTGCTTACTCAACTAGATCATAAACTTCTTAATGCCATGGGTTATATCATTTTTTAAATCAGGTCAGTACTGAGGATAGTAAAGCATATATGTATATCTATCACAGCTGATTGCCATATGAGTGATAACAATGGAGAGTCAATCTTCAGAGGAATATGAGGTTTCATGTAATTCACAGGAATTTATATACGCTTCATTAATGAAAGGTAATTTAAGATGGGTATTGAGTAGTAATTAGGGGAATGAGTCAGGCTAAGCGGAAACATTGTGAGCAAAAGGAAGTGGGTAGGCAATTCAGAAATGGGCAAAGGACTTAAACAGATATTTCCCCAAAGTAGATGTACAAATGGCTAATAAGCACATGAAAAGATTCTCAACATCACTCATTAGGGAAATGCAAATCAAAACTGCAATGTGATACCAACTCACACCCATTAGAATGACTACTACCACACACACAAAAAAGAAAATAACAACAATGGAGAGGATGTGGAGAAATTGTAACCCATGCGCACTATTGGTGGGAATGTAAAATGGTAAACTGCTGTGGAAAATAATATGGCAGTTCTTCAAAAAATTAAAAATAGAATTGCCATATGACCCAGCAATTCTACTTCTGGGTATATACCTAAAAGAATTGAAAGCAGGATCTTGAAGAAATACTGCATACCTGTGTTTATAACAGCATTATTCACAATAGCTAAAATGTGGAAGCCACCCAAATGTCCATCAGTAGACTGATGGATAAACAAAATGTGGTGTATACATACAATAGAATATTATTCAGTCATAAAAAGGAAGGAGATTCTGACATATGCAGCAATATGGAATCACCTTGAGGATATTATGCTAAGTAAAATAGCAATGAATTGCACACTTAAAAATGTTTAACATGGTGCATTTTATGTTGTGTATTTTACCACAATAAAAATAATTGAAAAAAAAAATGAAGTGGGAAGGTTGACACATAGACATGCATTTTACGGATTTTCTGATTATGTTTTTATAACTCATCTTAGTATTTTAAATATTATTCAGTCAAGAATGTAGGATATGGCATTTGTAGACATCATTTTGCTATGTCCATTCTCTTCCATTGGACTTATATTTTCTTATATTTCTAATGAAGATTAATATTCCCTATGTTTAGTCAACACTAGAAATTTCTCTGCAGGTTGAATGATGAATTTGTCCCAATGACAGGAAATCCGATTGTGTCATTTCTTTATTGTCTTGGAGTCATAGAAACAATTTTGTATGAGGGTACTTTAAAAAGTTCATGGAAAAATGGAATTAAAAGATGTTATAAATCTTTCCATGAACTTTTTGAAGACCCCTTGTATTTTATTTCAAATAGTGTTTATTTAAATATTGCAGATATAGATTGATATTGCACATATAGATATTATATATTATGATGTCATCAGCTAATGTTGATTATAGATAATATTTCAGTAAAATGTCATTTGTATATTTAGTCTAGTACCGGTTATCTGTGCCTCTTTCTTTTTTTCCAGGCAGAAGAAATGCATGAGTAAATTATTAGAGTACAGTGCCGATGTCAACATTTGTAATAATGAAGGCCTTACAGCAGTAAGTGGTATCAATTTTTTCTGCAATTTAAAAAATACCTTTTTGAAAATATCGAATGTAATGGATGCAAGGTATAGCACAAGTGTTTCTGCAAGTTATTTTTTTATAGTAATTAAGAAGGTGCAGAATTATTTTAGATATAGTTTTTAGCTACATTTATTAAGAGAAGATATGATTCAGCATGTTTCTCGCTTCTTTTTTAAGTTTATGGCTGTCATTTATTTTGAAGTCTTATTCCTATAGCTTTTGTCACTGACTTTCATGGGCCTTATTAGAAGCATCTCTGCTAAAGTTTGTTATGGGTTTATTATAAGAGAGCTGTTTTTTGTTATGTCCTTTTGAATACATTTAATATGTTCATTGTAGGAAAATTGGATGGCTAGGTAGAAAGGAAAAAGAAAACGTAACAGAGGGAAAGAGCACTCCCTGTTTTTCCTCCAGTCAGAGACAATCACTGTTAACGTTTGGCCTATGTCATTTCAGACTTGTTAAATCTTACTTAAACTAATATTTTTATCCATTTTGCCATATCACTTTCTTGGCAAAAATAAATTATTGTATTTTGATCCACATAGATACTATAGGGAAGTGGTATGGGATATTGCTGAAGAGATTGTTGAAATCCTAAAACTTAACCAAAATTGTCATTATTTAATGCAGCATTATTAGTTATAGAAGTAGACATAAAACAGAATTATGTGACTATTGAGCAATCATTTTGAAGTCGTGGCAGAAGATACTAAGTTTTATTTTATTAAATTCTATCTTTCTTTGATGGTACTTGTAGATTTTGAATCTTTTAACTTATGAATAAAGGAGAATATTGATTATTTACTTACCATGCCAGTTTTCAAGGCCTTTTTGATTAAAAATTTTTTTGACAGGGAGACGGGATAAAAAAACAACTTTTTAAAGATTAGAATTCTGTGACTGGCTTATTACAGAATAAGCTCAATCATGATTATTATATGGAATCTACAATTCCTGTGAAAATTCAGATTTTGTTATATATTAGCAATATAATACCATATACTCTGTAAGGAAAGACTGTATTCTTAATATCTGCAGACTGCTTATGTGGTAGGTGCCAAAGAGTTTTATGAAACCTTAGAGATAACATAGATCTTTTCTTAGGGCATTAACTAGTTTAGGCAAGGTAAGATGTCCAGTGTTAATCTGTAATCGTGTAAGTTTTTTTTTAACATTGAAAGTTATAGTGTTTTATTTCTTTATAAATAATTTATCAGGCCGAGCCCGTGGCACACTCGGGAGAGTGTGGCACTGGGAGTGCAGCAGCGCTCGCGCCACAGGTTCGGATCCTATATAGGGATGGCCGGTGCGCTCACAGCGCTCACTGGCTGAGCACGGTGCGGCCGGTCTGAAAAAAAAAAAGGACAAAATAAATAAATAAATAAATAAAATAAATAAATAATTTATCAAGAGTAGTTTAAATTACATAAGGAGCCAGCATCTTTTCTATGCCTTGGCTGATTGTCATACTCCTTCTAAGTTTGGATCAGCTTCCAAAATTTTATACTTTGTACTTTCAATGTCATTAAATATCTTTGAGAGTTCCTTTAATGTGAAGTTTTTTGCTGGCGTCACTTTGTCTGAGACATGTTTGTCCTTTACATCACAACCACTTCCTCATTTATGCCTATAGGTTTGCCTTCACTAAGGTCCTCTGGCTGCATATCTAAAACTGTCCCTTGAACTGCAGTGGTGTCAACATTCCCACAATTAGCTATATCCTCTATAACATTCCATCAAAATCCTGCAAGATTTTTTGCACAGTAGTCTTTTACTACTGTGCAGAGCAAGGACTGACTATAATTCTTGGAATTTGGGCACAAGTTTTACAGTAGCATCCTTATATGAGCTTGCAGCTTCACCAGACACCTTAGAATTAATCAGTTCATGCTGACTTCTGAAACGATGAAGCCAGCTTTTACTGGTTGTTTTTCAGTCTCCTTATAATTATCATTTGATTTCAGTGCAGTAACTAGCAGCAACTGACATTAATGCTTTGGCTTGAATGCTAGCCATACTGATTGGGATTTGTTTTTAATTATAGTCTTAACTAGAAAGTAGAAATAAACACTCCATTTGAACCATAAGTGGCTTTTTGTTCCTAGTGCAATTTAAACTAAAAGATGTTAAAGCAACTTTACCTTGTTTTTTATATTCATCAGACTTTTTCAATGTGGTTCAGACTGTAGCTTCATGCCGGCCTAGCTCTTGACCTATCTTTGCTTTGCTGTCACCCTTTCAGATCTTCTAATCACATCCAGTTTTACTTCCAGCATTGTCACTTTTCATTTCTTTGCTCCCCTGTCATCTTTGTTGACTGATTTTGATTATCCATTTTTGTACACTAATCATATGAGTTTAATCTCAGGGAGGCAATGAGACAATACAACTGTGCACTTTGTGCATTGCTATCTGTATGTGAAATATAAAATATTTATTAATATTTATTAATCTTTATATAAATATCCAAATTGTTAATCAGATAAATTTGACAAATGATGTTCTCTTAAAAAATACTCTTCAATTTTATTTCTTCTCTGTATATTTTGAATAATTATCTTCTAAGACCCATGTATCTTTTTCTGACATCTCTGAGAGTATAATTCCTTGAGATGAATCTTTTTGGCTGGAATCTTATTTCCTTTATTCTCTCTTTGTGGAAAAGTGTCTGTCAGCAGAGGGTTTGTTGATTTAAAGTCAGCATATCCTCATTTCAGACTCTCACTCTTCTCTGGAATCACATACCTATGGCCAACCATACCCAGAGCTCCTACATTATCTCCGCATCATAGATCTGGAAACCACTTGGCATGCCCTTGGATTCTCAGTTTTGGTCCTGCCTGTCTGCTTTGCGTTCTCAGGCTTGGCCTCATAAGAAGTGTGATGGCACCTGATTGAGCCAGAGTGGGTGAAAGCAGAAGGAAAACAATTACATAAGTTTTTATCTGCTAATTGCTTCCCTTCACTCCTGAACTTTAAGGGAAGTGGAGCAGAAAATTTCTAAAAGTGAAATATTTATTTAACAAAATTATTTATGAACTGCGTATATTTTAAGAGTCAAATGATTATATAAGACTTGTAGAACACAGTCTTTTGGTCTTCCTCTCCAACCTCCAAACTTCACACTCTTCTCAGTTATTTTAATGGATTTAAAATTTTCTCTCTCTATATCTGAGTAACATGCTAATGCTGCTTTCTGATTTTTTGGTTTTAGGCATCACCTGTTGATTTCTAGAAGATAACGTTATTCTCTTTTTCAGCACCTTCCTCTCATTCTGTCATGTATCCACATTTCCCTCACATCCTTCCAATATAGTCTTTGTAATTTTAGTAGGATCATTTTCCAGTGTTTTTATTCTTTTCATTATATAAAAACTATTCATAGTTAAACCAAGTAGTTTGCTATACTTTTTTTTCTTGTATATTTTGTTCTCCCTGTAGTTAATAATTATTATTTTTAAAAATTAAGATGATTGTAGATTCACATGTAGTTGTATGAAACAATACGGAGAAATTCCTTCCACATTTTGCCCAGTTCCCCCCAGTGGTAACATTTTGCAAAACTGTGATATAATATCGCAACCAGGATATTGACATTGATGCAGTCCATCTTATTGATATTCTCCCAGTTTTATTTGTGTGTATGTATATGTATATTAAGTTCTGTACAGCTTTATTACCTGTGTAGGTTGATGGATTCACCACCACAGTCAATATTCTGAACATTTTCAACACCTCAAAGATGTCTGGTGTTGCCCTTTTGTAACTATACCTTTTCCTTTCTCCTTCACACCCCATTCCTAACCCCTGGCAACTACTAATCTGTTCTCTGTTTCTAAAATTTTGTCATTTCAGGAATGTTATATAAATGGAATCATACTGTACGGAACCTTTTGGGATTGGCTTTTTGGCTCATCATATTCCTTGGAGATTTAAATCTAGGTTGTTGCATGTATCAATAGTTTGTTCCTTTATATTGCAGAGTGATATTCCATGGAGTGGATGTACCACCATTTGTTTAATCATGTGCCTGTTGAATGATATCTGGGTCATTTCTGGTTTTGGGCTATTACAAGTAAAGCTGCTGTAAACATAAACACCAGTATACCAGTTTTTGTGTGAACATTAGTTTTCATTTCTCTGGGATAAATGTCCAGGAATGTAGTTGCTGGGTTATATGATATTTTCGTGTTTAGTTTTAAAATACCCTGCCTGACGATTGTCTAGAGTTGTCGTACTATTTTACATTCCCATTGGTGATGTATGAGTGATCCAGTTTTTCAGCTTCCTGGCCAGATTTGGTGGTGGTGCTATTTTTTATTTTAGCCATTGTTATGGGTGCATAATGATATCTCATTGTTGTTTTAATTAGCATTTACCTGATTGCCAGTAATGTTTTTTTTTTTTTTTTTTAAGATGACCGGTAAAGGGATCTTAACCCTTGACTTGGTGTTGTCAGCACCACACTCTCCCAAGTGAGCTAACTAGCCATCCCTATATAGGGATCCAAACCCGTGGCCTTGGTGCCATCAGCACCACACTCTCCCAAGTAAGCCACGGTCTGGCCCACCTTTTCATGGGCTTATTTGACATGTTATATCCTCTTATGTGAAGTGAAAGTTCAATTCATGTCATTTACCTATTTTCTAATTGGATTTTTAAAAAAACTGTTGAGTTGTAAGAATTCTGGATATATTCAAAATAGTAGTGCTTTGTCAGGTGTGTGATTTGCAAATATTTTCTCCCACTGTTTAGTTTGCCTTTTCAAACTCTTAGCCGGGTCTTTTGAAGAGCAAAAGTTTTTAATTTTGTTGAAGTCCAATTTATCAATTTTTACCAAAAGCATTGTGCTTTTGGTGTCAAGTTTAAGAACGCTTTGTCTAGCCCTAGATCTGGAAGATTTTATCTTGTTTTTTTTTCTAAAAGTTTTATAGTTTTACATTTTACATCTAAGTTTTTATCTTGTTTTTTTTTCTAAAAGTTTTATAGTTTTACATTTTACATCTAAGTCTATGATCTCTTTTGAGTTAATATTTGTGTAAGATGTGAGGCTTAGGTTGAGGTTAATTTTTTTGCACATGAATATCCAATTATTCTGGTACTGTTTGTTGAAAAGGCTATCCTTTCTGCATGAAATTAGTTTTGCATCTTTCTCAAAAATCAGTTGGTCATATTTGTCTGGGCTTTCTATTTGTTCCTCTGATCTATGTGTCTATACATCTGCCAATACCACACTGTCTTGATTACTGGCTGTATAGTAAACCTTAATATGAGATAGAGTAATTCTTCCCATTTTATTTTTCTTTGTCAAGATTGTGTTAGCTAATCTGGTTTCTTGGCCTTTCCATATGAATTATAGAATAAATCTGTCTATGTCCACAGAAAAACCTTGCTGGGATTTTGATTGGAACTGTGTTACATTAATAGAGCATTTTGGGGAGAATTGACATCTTCACTATGTTGATTGAGTTTTCCAATCCATAAACACAGCATGTCTCTCCACTTGTTTAGGTATTTGATTTCTTTCATCAGCATTTTGTACTGTTCAGCATAGGGATTTTGTGCATGTTTTGTTAAGAATATAACTATTTCATTTTCTTTGGAGCAATTATAAGTGGTATTGTGTTTTTAGTTTGGGTTTCTGCAAATCCAGTGTCAGTATATAGAAGTGCAGTTAGTTTTTATGTGTTGATCTTGTATGTTGCAACCTTGCCAAACTCACTCATTGGTTCTAGGGGTTTCTTTGTAGATTTCTTGGGATTTTCTATATAGACAATTTTGTCATCTGCAAATAGAGATGAAATTTTATTTCTTTTTTTCCAATCTGTATGTCTTTTATATCTGTTTCTTGCCTTATTGCAGCTTTATTTTTTACAAAAATAAAAAATACAGCTTAGTTTACTAATTCATTAACAAACTCTCCCTCAGCTTTGTAAGCGTACTTTTTATATATATTCAGTACCTTTCATGTACTTGATTGTGTCTTGAAGAACTCTGTTATGGAGACTTCTGTTCTATCCAGGCTGAATTAGTTGATTTCCAGTTCTGCTGCACAGTTGTTTGGAATGTCTCTTTACCATCATCCTGATTCCACCATCACCAAGATTCCTTTTGCCTTCCTCTTGCTTTGGTTTCTCTATCATATTGGTCCCCTTTCTGTGTTTCCTGGTAACTATTCTGTCACTTTGCTTGAGCACATTTTTTGGTAGTTTCCTGAGAAAGGATGCATGGGAGGTAAATTAGTTGTCAACTTTCATGTCTGAATATGACTTGAGTCTCTGAGTCTGTCCTATTATATAATTGACAGTTTATCTGACAATAAAATTCTAGGCTGGACATCATTTTCTCTTAGAATTTTGAAAGCATTGCTTTGTTATCTTCTAGCTTTCAGTTTCGAAATTTGGTGCTGTTTTGGTTTTTGATTCTTTATATGAAACCTGTTTTGTTTTTTTCTCTAGAAACTTGTAGAATCTAATTTGTCCTTAATGTTCTAAAATTTTATCATTATATGTGTTGGTTTGGATTTATTATATCTATTTGGCTGGATAACGCTGAGGCTCTATCAACCTGGAAACTCATGTAATAGGAATGAATGAGGGCCGAGCCCGTGGCGCACTCGGGAGAGTGCGGCGCTGGGAGCACGGCGGCGCGGGTTCGGATCCTATATAGGGATGACCGGTGCGTTCACAGCGCTCACTGGCTGAGCGCGGTGCGGCTGGTCACAAAAAAAAGGAATGAATGAGAAATTTTTGTAAGTTATTACTTTGATGATTTCCACTTTTCTCTGTTCTCTCCTTTTGTAGCTACTATTATTTGGATATTAGACCTCTTGGACTAGCCCTTTAATTTTCTCATTTTTTCTCTTGTTTCTCAGTTTCTTTGTCTTTGTACTTTCTGGGAGATATCCTCAACATTATCTTCTAAATCTTTTTTTGAATTTGCATGTCTCTATCATAGTATAATTTTCAAGAGTTCTTTCTTTTTTTTTTTGCATTGTTCATTTAAAAAAAATATTACTTTTGTTTCAAGGAGGCAATCAGTATGTTCTCTCTCCAAGAGTATTAAATATAGTTTTTTTTTTTAATATTCATGGTTCCTTTTCCCCCCAACTTTTTGCTTTTTTTGTTGTAATTTGTCTTTCAGATTAGATGCATTTGTCAAACGTTTGGTGGAACAAGAAAAAAAATATTTGAAAGCTCTGTCAGCATGACAATAGGGTCTTCAAAGTAAGGTGATCTGCTTGGGCATTTGCCTTCAGGATCCTTCCCAATGTCAGTTTCTTTAGGCATTTACTCTTGAGCTGGTTAGGTTCTTCAGAGAAAGCCTTTCTGACTGCCAGAAAGATGTCAGCAGTCTGGATGCTGCATAGGGAAGAATGCTTTGGGATCTCAGTGTGTAGTTATGTACACTTGCTCTTAATCTCCCTTTTTCAGTGTGGTACTCTTAGTCAGTGTCCCTGGTGTCTCCCTTCTAGACACTCTTTGTTTTCAAGCCTCTTGTGTTCTGTCAGATTGGGGAGGGGATGTCACTGGCCTTGCAGAGTTGGGGAGGGACAGTGATCTCTGGGGGTCTAAATCTTAAATACCCAACTTTCATCTGATCTGTTTTTTGTCCCACCTTCCACCTACTTGAACAGGTACGTGGTACTTATTACCGGTTCTTGAACCTTTTGGGAGTTTTGTTATTTGAATCACATTCCTTCTTGGCTTTCTCTGCTACTGATATAGGATACTGCATTTTGTTCTGACTAGTCAAGAAGTATGTATATTATTGTTTGTTTCTAGCTTCCAAAACTCATTGCTCTTTTCTCCTTTTCTTTATCTTTATGGGTCTGTTCTTTAAGGAATACTCTTTATTGTCATTTGAGTGGGGGTTTTATTTTTATTTATTTATTTATTTTGTCTTTTGTGACTGGTAAGGGGATCGCAATCTTTGGTGTGGTGTCACCCACACTGCGCTCAGCCAGTGAGCGCACTGACCATTCCTATATAGGATCCGAACCCATGGCGGGAGCGTCGCTGCGCTCCCATGCCGCACTCTCCCGAGTGCGCCACGGGCTCGGCCCTTGAGTGGGGTTTTAGAAAGAGGTAGAAGCTGATGGTATGTTCAACCTGCCATTTTAAAATGGGTTTAATGATTTTATTTTATTTTATTTTATTTTTTTATTTTTTTTGTCTTTTTGTCTTTTTTCCGTGTCCGGCAACGGATCGCAACCGTCAGTGTTGCCCCCGTACCGGACCGGGGACCGGCGACGGGATCGCAAGCCTCGGCGTTGCTCCCGCGCCTCGCTCAGCCAGTGAGCGGGAGCCGGTCTGTACGTGGGATCCGAACCCTCGGACGGGAGCGCTGCCGCGCTTCCCAAGCGGCGCACTATCCAGTGCGCCACCGGGCCGGCCCTAATGATTTTATTTTAATGGAAAACAATTAAATGAAAAATGCATGGATAGCATAGCCTAAAGATTTAACGTTGTTTATCTTTGAGTGGTAGACTTATAGGTGTTTTATGATTTTTTAATACTCCCTATATATTTTATTATTTATGTAAGATACATATGTTTCTTGTAAAATAGAGGAAGTAAAGAATAGGACAATTCTGTGTTAATTACTTCTTAATTGATATTTGCTTCTGGGAAAGGAAAAATACCTTTTCTCTAGAGATAAACTTTGTAGAGTCTGGGGTCATCCAAGAAGCTGAGTACTGGTGATCCTAAGCCTACAATAATTACTATTTTTAACCATTAAGTTCTCGATTTTGAAATTCATGGTGGTGTAACCTACATCTTGATGCATGTATTTTCCCCATGTAAAAACATAGGAAAAAGTTATATGGGATTAAAATATCTTTAGTTTGTATATCGTGCTCTGTAGAGAAATAACAACGTTTTTTATTTGCTGTTTTTATATGAAACAGTCTTGCACAAATGTTAAGTAACTAAATGGCTTCACAGATACACTGGCTGGCAGTGAATGGGCGGACAGAACTACTCCACGACCTTGTGCAGCATGTCAGTGATGTTGATGTTGAGGATGCAATGGGGCAGACAGCACTGCATGTGGCCTGTCAGAATGGTCACAAGACGGTAAGGTCAGCCATGAGGACTTAAAGTTGTTTTTGAAAACTTTGAATTCATGAAAAGCTATTCACTGTGTTTATTTGGGAACATGAAGCATTATAGCAAAATTGTATTTTCTGCATCATTTGGACTTCTGGTTAATTTATTCTCTGTGGACAGAGGGAATAGAAAAATAGCGCTTTTAGATCTGTTCAAAATATTTGTAATTTGGATTTTTAATTTGATTTCTGATTCAGAGATTTATTTTTTTTGTCTTTTTCGTGACCAGTAAGGGGATCGCAACCCCTGGCCTGGTGTTGCCCGCACCGCGCTCAGCCAGCGAGCGCACTGGCCAGTCCCATATAGGATCCAAACCCGCAGCGGGAGCGTCGCCGCGCTCCCAGCGCCACACTCTCCTGAGTGCACCACGGGGCCGGCCCTGATTCAGAGATTTTTAATAGCTGAATATACTAAATTTTTATTTTTTATACTAAAAATTATACTAAATTTTTTTCATTCCAAACAGCTGAATATACTAAAATTTTAAATGTAGTATATTGTCATAATTTTAACAGTGAGAATGTTTATTCTGTTCTGAGTTTTAGCAAATAACTTTTCCATATTTTATTTTATTTTCTCCTTTTTGTCTTTTTTCGTGACCGGCAACGGATCGCAACCCTCAGTGTCGCGCCCGTACCGGACCGGGACCGGCAACGGGATTGCAACCCTCGGTGTTGCTCCCTCATCTCGCTCAGCCAGTGAGCGGCCGGTCTGTATGTGGGATCTGAACCCTCGGCGGGAGTGCCGCCGCGCTTCCCAAGCGGCGCACTGTAGCAGTACGCCACCGGGCCGGCCCTCCATATTTTATTTTCTTACCATTAAGTCTCAATTATTAGGATAGTGAGGAAAGTGAGCACTGATACTGTTTTATAGTTCAAGTTGAGTTATTGTATTTTTCTACTTTCTCGGTATATGATGCAGGTATTAGAGTGAAAGTATTTTCCTTCTTTCTTTGGATTTCTAAAATCATGCACTTATTTTATGGCAGTGCTTTCCTGTTATTCCTGTGTACAAACATTTGGCTTTTGAAATTGCAAATAGTTTTCTCTCATTAGGAGATTTTACTGCTTTATATAAAGATTGAGAGCTTTACGATTTTGTATTTAATTTCTGTTTACATTAAGGTTTTTTCCACATTTAGCATTATTGGTAATACAATGTAATTTATTTACTTGCTAACCATACAATAACAACAAAACCAATAAAAAAAAAATCACTACCAATAACTACAAAGATACAGTTTATTTATTTTTTGGTACAAACTCTGAGTCTTATCTCTTTTTTATTGGGAGAATTCTTAGTGGAATCTGGATTTCCATCTCTTCAAACACTTTTTCGCTAACCTGGGTTCAGGATGTAAGGATACTGGAAGCTCTAGTGCTTTATATATGACTACAATTCACAGAATATTGTATTTCTTCAAGATAGTGAGGCAAAGGTTGACATTGTCTTATGTTTAATAAGGGTTGGAAAAAAGGAGGTGGGGGATATAGGATTTTTTTTCCTTTCCTGGAATTTCCTCTGAATATCAATGTTCATTTGTACTTTTTGTCTTTCATTATCTGAAAACTAACCCAGTGTTTTCAGAAGTATTATTTCTCAGTAGTACTTACTTTTTCAACATCAACGTTATTAAATTTAAAAAATATTCTGTATTAACAGAAATGATTTGAAATATTCTAATCTTGAATGATCCAGATATTTAAGGAACTATTGCATATTAGAGAATGAGTCCTGCTGATAGCTCTCAGAGGACAGAAAAGCACTTACTTTAATATAAACATGCTCTGCTACAACAGATGAGCAAAAATATCAGTTACTAAGATTTGCAAACCCTCACTGTTGCCCAGGAACTTATATAGGATAAAAATGGGGATTCAGATATGAAATGATCTACAAAAGCTAATTATAGCTGCCTTGAACAGTATAGAAGCAAGAATTACTAAGAAAACCTTGATTCAAACATGTACATTATAGAATGCATTAAAAATTTAGAATTGCCTTCTGAAGTTATTGAAAACTAGGTGGTGTAAGTATAATATATTCCGTATGGTTTACAACCTAAAGCAGGTGTGGTAAAGTTATGGGAGAATTCCTCATAGTCAGATGCCTTTGAACAATTGTATTCTCAGAAGATTTATAGGGAGCCTGACTTCACTGCAGTTGTGAGTTTCACAGGGTGAGATTTTGCGGATACAATAAAGGAGGAAAGGTACCATAAGCCATGTTGACTTATTGTTGATTGTATTGGCCAGTGAGATTCATTCTTTCATAGTTGGTAAATTGTAGTTATCTACAAGGATCATACTCAGGTAAAGGGAATGTTTAGCACTGACTATTTTCTGAATCATTGTGTGTATCTTTGATCCTTTTTCAATTAGGACAAGAAGGAATCTTGAAAAATTAGTGTATTTCCTTACCTCCAGGCTGAATTGTATTTCTAAAAATCTGTGTTGGTAGTTGTGCTAATTTTGCCTGTTTCAGAATTACTCATCTATTTCTGGGACATGTTCAATATTCAGTGGTGGATGAACATATCCTTTTATCTAAGTTGAATATAATATACTAGGTTATGAAATATGCCGAGTTATTACAGGGTAGGGACTACTGATTTTTTTTTAATCCTTTGTGTATCTTTCAAGAAGTTGAGCACTAAAATGCTTTGTCAAGTATCCTAGTGACTTATTTTAGTGACAAGTCAGATGGCCTTTTTGATGTCTCAGAATAGCCAGTTCTTTCATAAATTCATTGAAAGTCTTTAGGACTTGTGTCCAGGTAGACATATACCACTGCATGGAGGTTTCAGGATTTTATTTTAATTTTAAGCTTAAAAGCTTGCATATTCATTATATATATATTTCACAGAATAAAATATCAAACTTTAAAGGTGGAAAGAAAATCCACTAGAAATATTTTAAAAAGCATATCAGCTCTTTTCAAATTCAAGAGGCAGAGATGATAAATCCTCTGAAATTTGCCTTCTAATCTCATTTTAGAATAAATCTCAGAAGTGCATGAAAAAATTTCAGGCAACTGGCTAAGAGCCCTATAGCTTTGTAGAATTTATAATTGAATACTATATACTTCCTTTGATGACAAGAAATGCTTTTTCAAATTTACACTAGTTTTGGTTATTTTATTTATTTTTATTTTATCAATATACAATGTATACACTAGTTTTTATAAAGATGAAAGATTTATTTTTCTCATAAATAATTGGGTAATCTTTACCATGTTTTCATATAGATGTAAGTAGTAAGGTAGACATGATAAAGGTCTTATCCTCTCTTTGGAAGGAAGTAGTTTGGACAGTTGAAGAGTACCTTCTAACTGTTTTTGTTCTTGCATCATAATAGCACCATGATTTTAAACTACATCTTCTTTTTTTTTTTTTCTTTTTGTCTTTTTTCATGACCGGCAATGGATCGCAACCCTCAGTGTCGCGCCCGTACGGGACTGGGACCGGCCACGGGATCGCAACCCTCGGTGTTGCTCCCGCTCCTCGCTCAGCCAGTGAGCGGCCGGTCTGTATGTGGGATCCGAACCCTCGGCGGGAGCGCCACCGCGCTTCCCAAGCGGCGCACTATAGCAGTGTGCCACCGGGCCGGCCCGATTTTAAACTACTTCTATTCCTATTTAATAATGATCAGTTGAAAGAAATGATAATAACTCCTTAATAATTTTATTTTTGTGTAACTTTCCTTAGATTAGCTGTTACACTGCATTATTAATTGTACAATACCAGAATAATGGTTTGCATTTGGCTATTGATTTTAAAAAATAATTTCAGAGTTTGGTTGTTCAGCTGGCTTGTTATATAATCTGACAGCTTTTTCTTCCCCTCCCTTATCTGTTTCGTAAGGTATATTCTGTCTAGTGATGACATAATTAAGGAAGTGTTGTGAACACTTTAGAAGACATTTAAGAACCATATTTATTACTACTATTTCTACCATTTTTAATATGCTTGATGTGATTCTGTAAAAGTATAGAGCGTAATATCTGGACCCTTCATTCATTTACTCTTGTGCAAGAATCTAGGCCCATTGTGTTGTTTGATTTTTATTTCATTTTTAGAAAGTGAAATAAAACCTAACACTCTCCATAGGTATATTTGACTCAAATTTTTTTGGCTATAAATTGAATTTACTTTTTGGTAACTTTTTCCTTTGTTATTAGTTCTTCAAGATTTATAGATGTGTTGAATTGCCACAAATAATTGATTGTTGTCTTCCTGGAATAACTTGGATTTAGAAACCCTAGAGAACTGTCAGATAGTTCAATCAAAATTTATACGTTAGATTACATAGCAGGATTAGTTTAGAGACTAATCTACAATCTATTTAGAAATAAATTTCATTTTTATCAGAATGAACTTTGTTTCTAAATTTATATAACTGAATATGAACCTTCACAAGCAGTATAAAATGATAGTTGAACCTTGTTAGAACAGACTCAAGCTCCTGAAACTTAAAATCAGTTGTTTGACATTGGTATTATAGATTATCTTTGATGGAACAAACAGCGTTTATTACTGAAATTGTAGACTTTTTAAGGAACGGTGTTATCTACGTTCAGTTAGCTCTCTTGATATCTTTAGCCAGCTTCCAAGCTGTTATCCAGAGAATTACGGGACAGCCATGCAAACTTAATTGAAAGCGTTTGCAAAACATTGATCAGATTTAGCTTTGAGGTACAAAGGTAGGTAGACTAACATTTCAGGATGTATTTTTAGGTTCAGAGTAATTTTATTTGTTTTAATGCTAGAATTCTCTGTATTCACTTCTGGGAAATGTGAGCAAATAATAGGAAGTTCCCCTGTCATTTATTCTTAAACACAACTGGGTGGGTAGTAATGATTTTTGCTGGATATTACATAAGGGTTCAAAGTTTCACTAGGTTCAGGTGGACAGTCTTCTAAAGAAGACCCGTATAAACTGGTCACTGATTAGTGAGTTGGCAACTTT